TCTATCAGTCGTCCATGGTTGATAAAGTCCTATCTATACTACAGTACTATAGTATTGTACTATCCCATCCATGAGTAGTCTATTTACATATCTGCGTTTCCTCCTATCCACTCACCTCCGAGGACACCTCCTCCCCCGGTGGCTCCCGTGCCGGTGAACTGACGACGAACATCACCACGCCCGAACAGACGGCGCACGAACCTTTGGAGGGGGGGGGGGGATGAGCGACAGGAGGTCTCACTATCGTGCGGGGATAGGAAATATTCACAAACGATTTGTGAGGTAACTACTAACTAGCTTGTGATCTAAATGTGATCAAAAATGTTCATACAGTAGTGTTCTTTTACATAAACAAACACGATAGATAAATAATTTTAGGTATACGAGTATGTGATTGTGGCTTAATACTCTAAAAAGAAAAATACCGTAGTAAAAGATGCAGTGATAAGCTGATACCAACAGAAACTTATTTTAAACCACAATTGACAGCTGACTGCCAGCTTGACCAGCTAGATTCTTGTCCCTCATCACTTCCCTGTCACCACCATCAAATTCATCTTACCCGGCCAGTCCTCCGCCTGCGCTGCGCCTCCTCTGGTACCCGTAGTACTGACTGGGCGCCGCAGGCTGTTCGTAGTAGCCGTTGTTTTCTAAATAGTCTGCTGCCACTACTGTGACCAGCGCAGCTAGGACGATACACCGCAGCTTCATACTATCTGTGGGAGATGGCGGGATTTATAAATGTAACGATGTGATTGTAATCTTGCTATAGCAGACATGTGTTTGTTAGAGATTAGCTTGGTATTTCAGCTGTGGAGTAAGCTAGATAACTTAAGCACAGACCACTAGGCACCGCTTAGGATGTCGCGCGTTAGCTTATCAAGTGGCAGCTGAGGGTTTCGAAAAGCTTGCATGTCTTTGCAAGTGAATTGTAGTTCGAGGAATGAAAGAAATGCGGTTCGCCATGGCGGGGTTGACAGTTTGCATGCATTTCAAGCTTAGCAGGAGGAACAGTTAAATTCATAAGTATGCGGGGTTGACAGTTTGCATGCATTTCAAGCTTAGCAGGAGGAACAGTTAAATTCATAAGTATTCAAAAACAGCCCAGAGATGGTAAAATAAGGATGCTTGGCATCGCTTTTATGCTTTGTTAAGCAATTAAAAACGGTTTCAATTATTTAATTCTCTTTGGACTGACATTTAGTGATGCAGTCATGGTAAGCAGGATAAGAAAATAAGACGGTCACTTTGCTTTCCTCATGCTGCCTTCTCATGCCTGGAACTGTCACTTTTGCATACTTTTAATAAATTACTCGCTTTATTGCACAAAAATAGGATGCATGCAAGCCTTCTTGCTGAAATCAAAACAATTTTGAAGTGTGATCGAATGAAGCGTAATTTCTCCCAGTTAAACAAGGAAAGATCATGTTTCAGAAATTATCACAAAGGGACACGTACCATTCTGGACGATCTCCGGGAATGCCGAAGTTAAAAAATAATACGAAATTGGGAGGTAGTCTTTCAGATCACACAAATCGGTTATCAAATCATTCAGGAATAGGCGATCCAGCGCGACACATTTCAAGTGCTTTTTCAGCTAATTATACATACCTACTTTATTTGTTTTTATATTCAGGCTGTGTAAGAAGTTGTGCATTTTTCGTATAAAAGTGTCTTCAAAGTTACTGCAAAATTCTTTTTTGTCCCATTGGCCAGTAAGAAGAAATGGTCATACGGTCATGCTAAGCATTTGGGCATTTTTCATTGGCATCTAAAATTATCATAAATATGCCTCTCTTTTATAAACATATCTAAGATTTCCATAGAACTCATAATTTATGGATGTAATATATTTTGAAAATAACTTTCAATTGATTTGTAAAGTGAAGCAGGGAATTTTGTTAGTAGTTAGTTAACTTCAGGTAAAGAAGGATTTTTTTTTCAAATTCGTGTTTTTTTTGTAAATAAGAACGACGTTTTAAAAAATGGTAGAATATTTCCTGGTTATTCAAATGACTGGACTGTACCCTAGACTTGCAAAAATATTCAATATTATCAGTGGTTAAAAGCAGTAGCAGAGGTACCTAGCTTGCATATCAGTAAGCTCAATTCTCACCTGTTTAGAATCCGACCGTTTTTTTATATTGGCCCGTACTCGTGTCCTCTCGCGTCCTCCCGAGTGCGTCCTCCCTGCGTGGCGTGTCCTCCCGCCTCCCCGTGCACCTCGAGCCGTCCGACCAGCGCGTGCCACCGCCTCACCGACCGACACACAGCCAACTGTGCCAATCAGTGCAACTGGGCCGCTTTTATGCACAGTCGTTAAACGTCGGGGCCGTCTCTCTTCCTGGCGATTTTGGCTCACGGAGGAGCCGCCTGCAATGTCCCCGCCGGCACCATGAGAGAGTCTCGGCGACCACAGCACTCCCAGGGCAGCCGTACGGTTGGCTCGACCTACTCCGGCCCCGATTACAGAGCGGGCAGTGTGGGCTCAGAGCACACACACACCTGCCCCAGGTGGCCGGGACGCTGAACAGGTGCCCCGGGCGGGTTGACCGTGACCGGTTAGTCATTTGACCAGAATTAGAACGGCTGGCATGCAGAATAAGACATGCAGAGTTTGCGAAGAGTTGGAGAACGCATTCTTGGTTTTGGGTTTGGTGAAATATTCTTGATTACTTTGCTAATTTTAGATGACTATGACAAAAATAGCATCACTAGAGCACAAGAAAGAAGGGCAAATGCTTACTATGATAATAATCGACGTATTTAATCGCTTACTTGTTTCAGTCAGGCGTCAGTTCAAGTAAAGCGCTGTCATAAATAAACTTTCTTTTGTACTTTTTCGATTAAAATGTATCAAAACGCACCCGCGTAAGCTATCTAAATGATAAAGCTTGGCAATATCCAAGGCAAAGGCTTGCCGTGGCATTGTATTTTGGACATGTTAGAGCCCAAATACTAGAAACACTAAGCCATTCTGCATATCAGCCGGTCAGTAAAGTTGAGCTGAGCGCATAAAGTTGTTTCATCGTTCTAAAATGGCTTGCGCAGGGCCTTTCAATCTGCGGCAAAGTAATGACCGCACATGTGGTGTGTCAAAAAGAAAAAACATTGACTTCGAGCCCGCTGTGAGGATTGGGCTATTTGATCGATGAATATTCCAATGCTTCATTACCACTCGGTGATTTAACTTACGAAGGCTCTTGCTGACTTAGAATTATCACGGTGCGAAGTAAATCAGCTGGCTAATCATGCATTATCATTTTATTTTGTTGATGTCTAGCATAGGTGTAGGAACAGGTGGGACGGGGGGGGGGGGGGGTGGTGGCCCCCACTTTTCATAGTGGGGGCAGTAATGTTAACTGCCCCCCCCCCACTTTTTGCCGAACTTTTTAATGTATTTGTATATACCATCGTCCCCGAAGAACAAACTTGACGGTTCTCTGGCCTGCCTTTCCATGAAGATTTCCATTTGTGCTTCATCGTTATTGAGTGCAATTTTCCTCCACCCAATGAAAGGTAACTTTGTCAGAAGCAATAAGTGGCAGCTTAGGGGCAGCGCGAGTTGCAAAGAGAGACAATACTGGCGCAGCAGAATGCGTAAACGGCGTAAACTAACAATTTATGCTAGGCGGCTTTGCATTAGTTGATCGGTTCCTGGCATAGGCGTAGGAACAGGGGGGCAGGGGCAATGGTCCCCCACTTTCGAATGGGGGCCAGCAATGTTAACTGCCCCCCCCCCCACACACACACACCTTTTGCTGACCGCTCGCTCGTAATAAAAAAATGTTTTTGGATGCTTCTGGAATTCGCATTGGTGCCAACCAGTGGCGGATCCAAGGTGGGGTCACATGGGTCATGCCCCTTGGGCCCGGGGGCACCACAGGCCAACCAGGGGCACCACCGACCTATCGGGGGCCCCACAGACCTGACAGGGGCATCACCGGCCTGTCAGGATCACCATCGGCCTAGCAAGAACACCACTGGTCTGCCAGGGGCACCACAGACCTGTCAGGGGCACCACAGGTCTTCCAGGGGCACCAAAGGCCCTTCCAGGGGCACCACCGGCCTCGCAGGGGCACCTTGGGCCTATCAGGGGCATCACGTGCCTGTCGGGGACACTTCAGGCTTGTCAGGAGCACCACAGTCCTGTCAGGGCCCAGGGGCACCAGCGGCCTAGCAGGAGCACCACGGCCTCGCAGGGGCACTACAGGCCTCGCAGGGGCACCACCGGCCTCGCAGAGGCACCATGGGCCTGTCGCTGGCACTTCAGGCTCGTAAGGAGCACCATGGTCCTTCCAGGGGCACTTCAAACCTGCCAGGGGCACCTGCGGTCTAGCAGGGGCACCACAGGCCCGCCAGGGGCACCACAGGCCTGCCAGGGCAAAAATAAATAAATAAAAAATTAAAATAGGTCACCACCAAAATTAAGTGGCCGAAATCAGTTGAGGTTTTAATTTTGGGTATAGGTAGGGGCACTACTTCGATTCATGACCATCCCCTTGAAGTATTTCTGGATCCGCTCCTGGTGCCAACGCGGCTGCGGAGGCCAGGGGGACGCGTCCATGAGATTTAATTTCTGGACGGGAGTCTCCCCGAGATTTTGGTCGATTTTTTATTGTCACTTTTTTAAAACCAATTTGAGCATGCTTGCGAAAATAAAGTGGCCGAAATCCGAGGAGAAAATGGATTTTGGGGGTAGGTGAGGTTTTGTGCCTCTGGGAGCCTTCCCCCCCCCCCCCCCCACTTTCGAAAACGTTCCTACACCTATGATGTCTAGGTCTGAGAATGTTCAGCCCGGCGGCCATTTTCCCGTTGGGGCTATCCAATACCGTTTGCTGCTTGTCGGTATGTTGCATGGTTCTCGAGATCTTAGGGGAGGGGGGAATACCCCCGCCCCCCCCCAATGGGGCGCGTTGCTCGGCCATAGACCTCTGTGTACAGAGGTCTATGGCTCGGCAGATCCCAACGGGCCGCGGGTTTAAAATGAAAGCTATGCATTGCAAGACCAGTATGTATATGTAAACCAATGATGGCGAGCGCTCTCCAGTTTGTCCAACACATATTGTTTGATTGCCACAACAATGTATTCACTCACGAATAACGGATATGAGCAGACGCTGTTTGAACAGCGGGTTCGATACGCAACAAAACAACAACAGCGTGTTTAACAACACAATAAAACAACAGCAACAACGCACGGCGAAACAAAACGCTAACAGATTTGTAACACACTTCACGACGCAACATGTCTAAAGAGGAGAATTATTTAACCGTAGGGATCACACAGGCAGTGGTGCTCAATGCGTAGAGTGGGTCGAATTGTTGCCGTTTCAAGAAACAAGCCCATCAAAGATTGTTAAGTTGAAGTATTTCTGACTAGTTTGGCAGAGTGCATGCCAAGGTTGAGCATTATTACGACGCATTGAACAAAATCAGCATTGTAAAATGGTGGAGCTTGATAATAGATGTATGAGAAAGCCTTTCGTTCTCGCTCACGAAGTGAAAATCAGGATATATAAAAGATAACGTTTGATATAATGTAAGCAAGTGGAGGATAATGTCAATAACTTGCATACCACGCGGTCTCACCCTAAAACCCTCGAATCGTAAAAAAAAACATGACGCACAAGTCAACTATCAGAGACTTGTCCAACCAGCGATTAACCAAGCAATTCTATTGGAATGTGAAAGAACCAATCACATAGCTTCAGTCTAGCTATGAAATGTTTCACCCTGTAGAGCTCCTTTGATGCGAAGGTCGATTCACAGTTGTGCAATATATCAGTCTGCGTATGCCTAAAATGACCAACAATATCAAGTTCCAGCCTCATTGGTGGTGACATCATTTTGCGTTCGTTTTCCGCAACGTTCACTTTGATCATCCACTAAACAATTGTTATAACTTTTCAGAACAGTCCCGCATCACCACAAAAACGTTCTACCGTTTATTCGGTGCTCCACGAGTCTTCAAAGTCCTTCTGGAGCTGGTTCATCCAGACCGAGTGGTCCACCTCCCACTCGTCCGTGTCCAGGCCACGGCCGGACGAGGTGAGGCCGGTGGACAAGGCCGCAACCAAGCCAACGACGCCAACTATGACCACAACAACAATCACGACGACGATGGCGATGCCGAAAACTGCCAGAGAAAACAAATGGTGTCAGTGGAAGGTGCAGCCACAAAGTAAGGAGAAAACTTGAGTCGCTCCGGGAAATTACGAGTCGTTCCGAAATACACAGGGTACGCGAGTCAACTATTGTAGGTTTTGTTCCGAAACCTACAATAGCCAATGGTCATTGTCAATGCCAATGGTCAGCTAGTGGTTAACGAAACTGAATCTTTTTTTTGAAAGCTTAAAGCATCGAGCTGCTTTGAAAATGTTCTATGTATGTAAAATACTGATAGCTCCTTGAGCATCTACTTGTGCTTATTTAGATTTCCATGGAAACGATGAAGATAATGTGTGTTTTACTGGTTTTACTATGCTTTTCGCAATCGTGTAAGAGTTGTTTCGCTACTCTAACCACTTCATAAATTCCTAATGCATTGTATTTCATCAAAATGACTGTCACTGAACTGTTTCTTTACCATAACCTATCTGCAGCACCCCAAGAGCAGAACAAGAGAAGGATTACTCACATCCACCTCCGAGTCCAAACTGCCTCCGGTTTGCTGGAGAGAACAGGCTGCTGACAGTTCTGAAACAAAACGAAAATACACATCGTCGAAGTCTTCAAAACAGTGGCAACTCACCAGGTTATTTTTTAGTTTTGTTGTCATTCCTTGGTTTCAAATTGTCCAATGTTTTCTTTTCTACCGTACGCTTATAACACGTTTCAGTGTATATTCTTTAGCGTTCATTCCCTCGCCGGCACAGGCCATTTTGCGTCCTTCGACGGCACAAGGGGGGGGGGGGTTGGTTGGCCCCTGATCAAGCTAGGGCTTTGCGGAAAAACGAGCGTGTTTCCCGTCACGAGAGGAAGCCGATAATACCCAATTTTAAGGTCCTCGGTCATCGGGTGACCTTCCAGGTTAGGTCAATGACCCGAAAACCGGGAAAATCGGGACCTGTTAGAAAGTCGTAAAGTGTGGCTGCTATGTGGTTTTCCGGGGTGCTGATCACGAATATCGTGTTAGTTTTATCAGAGATGATGTCTTTAGGCATTTAGACCAGGTCGGGTCAGGTCAGGTGAGGTCAACCGGTAGAGGATGTGACGGGTATTCGTAATACGTGTCAACCGCCTCTGGCAGCTTCGTAACATGTTACGAAGGCCTCATAACTACTTCGTAAATGTTCAAATGGTTGCTAAATTCAAATTCAGCTAAAAAAACTAGCCCAGAAACATGTAAAACTCGAAAAAGTGAACCGAGGTCACCCGAGGTCACCAAAGGTCAATGACTGGACCTGACCTTCAGGTGACCTTGACACCCACCCTAATGTATGGGAGCAACATCAAATCACATGTTTGAACGTTTGAAACCACGAAAAGCTTGCAAACGCGCGGCTAATGCGAGCTGACATACACCGAATCGCGATTCCGGCCAAACATGGTCTCGGAAAAGAGGTCACAGGTCAAAGGTCATTTGGGTCAGGGTCATGAAATTTTAAGGGTAGGTGCAAAATTGATCAATGCGAGGGTACTGAAAGTTTCGTCGCGATCGGCCGCTTTTTACGCGAGTTATTCGCGAACAACCTTAGGGGGTCGAATCAACCCCCCCCCCCCTGTGCCGGCGAGGGTTAAGCATTTTAACTTTGAGCTATTTTCTTACTCAACCCACGCCCGGATGGGCCTCTTAGCCAGATTCACCTTGGTGGGGTGGGGTGGGGGCTTTTTTGGCCACACCACATTATATCGGAAAGTAAGCAAGCTAGAAAGACGCGGTAAAAGCACTAGATGGCTCGCTATAAGATCCTTCAGAATTATACAGGACATTTTTCGATCAGTTCATCACTGAGGTCACTGGAGGTCACCAAAGGTATGATTATCGCGACTTTTTTCTCGATTTTGAGAACTTTTCACAAAACGGCGCATACGTTGGAAACCATTACAGCTACAGCGCTACAGAGATGCGCATTTGATAGCTCTTTCAAAGCCCTTTCTGAGTATTTCTCTCAAGTTTGACCCTAAGGTCAACGGTTTAGCCTCCAGAGGGCAAAAAACTCAAAATTGGACGTTTTTGCGGACAATGTTTTTTATAACTTCTGACTCCAAGCTTGTATGGCGCTGATTTTAGCGGCATCGATTTAATCTCATTGAGAAGCGTCTATGTATTAAGCAATAAGTTGACCCGGGAAGGTCAACTTGAAAGTTTGAACTCAGGTCAAGGTTACAGAAAAGGTGATGTAGCATATAATTCGATTCGTATTCAGCTTTCAGCGCTCTAGCATGTTTCTGTCTAAAGTTATTGTTAAAAAATGTTAGTTACCTACGTTTCATGACCTGAGATGACCTGAGGGGCATAAAGGGGTCACAGGTGCAATTTTACTATTCAGCGTGTCATGCTCACATGTCTTCCGATGTGGGTGTTTCCGGCCAAAAGAAAAAAATCAATTTTCTCCCATTTACTTATGCATAATGGAGAGGTCACAAAATTGACCTGACCTTAGGTCACCGATATTAAAATTCCGAGATATACAAATTGTTGGCACTGAATCCCTCATGCAACAGCCTGAATTTCAAACTTCTGGGATGTAAGTCTAGGAATGAATTAATCACTTTTTTAGAGGCATGGTTATTTAACTTGACGTGGAGACCTGACCTTATGTGTCCCAACCTCAACATTTTTACTAACGATGCGAAATTGATGTATCATAAACTATACCGAGTTTCGCGGCGCTGCGCGTCGCAGCTTTCTTTGCTTACGCAAAAAAAATACTAGCAGGTGTGACCACTTGGGCAAAGGGAACATAACTGAAGTAGTACACCCAGCACAAATCTTACATACCTGCAATATATCTAGTTTGCAAAAAAAGGACATGAGCGCAATTTAACATCAAACAAATGTCCACCAGTTGCCTTATTTCACTCACTCGAAGAAGCTCTGGCGGCGCTGCGGATAGTAGGGGGTCGCGGCCTGCTGGTCGTAATAGTTGGTTTGGTATTCGTTCTGGTAGGAGTTCTGGTAGTCGGGCTGGTAGCTCTGGTAGGATGAGTCAGCCCATGCCATCGCGGCCAGCGTCAGTGCGACGAAGATGGCGAACTTCATGGTTGGTTTCTGCGGTCATACAAACGGGCAAGATGTGACTTTTATTTGGGAATAATCCACACAGATAACAAAACATTCTGCCATTTTCTTTGGTTGTAGGTAATTAGGTATACCTAGGTCAGCTGCATCCATAAAACGTATTGGCCGCAGTTGGTTACTTCTGAATCAATTAACCAGTTCTAAAAAAGTTTATGTGGGTGCCGATGTTGTCCTTCTCTCCAAAATATCCTTAGTATCTCTTTGCCTCAAACGGCGCACCACCTCTGACAAACGCTACACGAACGACTATCTTGCTTCACGGGCGTCCCTTTTCCACATGTAAACGCCCTAAGCTTCATAAGTGCCCCTCTTTCCCATGTAGGTGCCGCTATGAACATCAGAGGCACCCCTTTACGCCTCACAGTTGCCCCTCGTTCGCAAGGAGACACTCCTGTGGGCATCGCGGGCACCGCTTGACGCCTCAGGCCCTCATGGGTGCCCTTCTTTCGCAAGGCCAGGCTTCATTGGCCGCAAGGAGGCCCTATGGGCATCATTGGTGCCCCTTTTTCCATGGGCCTCAGAAGCATCCCCATTGGCATGCAGGCGCCCTTCTTCCGTACGGAATCGCCCCTATAGCCTTCATAGGTGTCCCTCTTTTACATGTGGGCGCACCTATAGGCCCTAGGCTCAGGCGACCTTATAGGCCTCACAGGTAAGTACCCTCTTCTCGCATATCTCTGCGGCCATGTCGCCCCTCTCGTTAGGCGATGGTGTGCCCCCCCTAGGGACGGTGCCCCCTTTGACAATTCATCAACATCACTCTGTTGAGCGTGGTTACACTCCTGTCGACATATCCTGAGTGCATACATCGATTTCGATGGGATGATCTTATACCATGGCTGGCAGCAATTGGCCAGCTGCCGTTTTAGTTCCCTTTATCGAAAACGCTTCACCTATACGCTGATAGGTAAAATTAAAGTGCGACTTTTACCAACGAATCCTGGTGAACATTTTCCTTCCATGAATTTTATCGCATTTTAATTAGTTGGTTTGTCTCTCGATACCACAAAAGCGGCGACCGTCAGTTTTCAAGATCCGTTCTCGGGCAATCGTTCGTCCAATTTGGTTTTTAGTTTTAGTACTGAATAAATAGGCGTCGTATTAATACCTGATGCAAATATAGTGCTTTTGCAGCACCTATGTTCCGAAAACATTGGTGCTCATTGAACAGCCCATAAACAAAACTAAGCTTGTGCATGCCAGCTAAAAGCTTTTGTGGATAGTATCTTGCTTCCCTGTGTATCACGTCTTGAAGCCCGTAACCGCTTTTGCGGGCTACTGGTGAGACAATCTTGCGAAATCTGACCAGTTTTGAACCTACTCTTGGTCACAGGCCATTTTTGTTTTTGTTTTCGTTGTTCTGTTAACTCTTTCAAGTCTTATATGCTCAATTTTTCATGGCGTTTTTGCTAGGAATTTGAGCTCAACTGGTATGATATTTTTGGCCCTGCTTTAGATAGAGTTGTTCGACATTTATCACGCACTTCATCGAAGTACGAGTAGCTATATCAACCGTGATTGAAAACCAAAATCATCCATATTTTACGGTCGTTACGCCTACAATTGTCCGCTCGTCTGCAAATGATGGACTGGCCAATAAGATAACCATTTTCATACAATCCGTCACTAAATCTCCATCCAGCGCTCAGCAGCAAGGTTACTCTCCGCTGCTTCACGGTAAAGTATCTGACGCTGGCCGTAAGCCATAACCGTAACCACATCCGCCGTAACCGCAGCGCAGCAGTTAGCTTCTCTTCCAAACACTCTCGGTCTCAGCAACACTCGACCGGATCGCTCGGATCGCGAGCTCTTCTCACCGCGAGCTCTTCTCACCGCGAGGTCTTCTCACCTGTGGTTGGGTGATAGAGTATCCGCTATGGACTGGACGTCTCCTCGCCACACTGTCACTGACTCGCGACCCTCCGACGGTCCTGCTCGTCCGACCGTCACCCACTATCTAGCCACTGACCTGCAGGCACCGTTGAATACAGACCGTTTTTATGCACGCGCCTCCAGGGGCCCCGGCCGGCGGCGCACTGCGATTGGTCCAGCGGCAGTGCAACGGGGACAGGGGGCAGGACAAAGTCGTAAGAGTGGACGCACCCTGTTTAGGTATGCCTAACCTAGCGACCGCCCACCCCTACGCTTGTGCAAGCATTCCCACCCGGCGGGGCGGGGGCGGGGAGGCTCGTGCGCCGGAAGTAGGGTGAATGGGGCTACTGTTTAGAAACGAGACGGAATTGGAAGCTTGGTGCGTGAGGTGTATAAATGTTTAGAAAAAGGGCAGAACAACGATATGTGACGTGAGATGTAATCGTTTTTTCTAACAAATTCATTTATCGTGAATTGGTTGGGACGAAGGGACAGGACAAAACATATGAAAGCTCTATGCGCTTGCAGCATATCACAAACTCTAAACTGAGATTTGGATCGCTTTGCAATTTTGCAGGCATATAGCTATCGGCTATGTTGTAGGTTATCCATCCCTGCAAAGCGATAAACGCTCTCAACGGCCGATTCACTCCAAGCAGTGCTATGAATGAGCCTCTTGCCAGGATTTCCATCTACTTTCAGGAGACAGCTGTGCCTGTGGGTGGATTGCAGCCTGCCGTTGAGAACGGTAGTCGGTAACAATACTTGTCATCAAATTGTCATACACACTGCAGTTGCACACACAAGAGTCGTATGAACATATTCTGAGAGCATATTCTGCAATCAGTGAAGCTGTTTTTGTAACAATTAGTTGTTGAAGGGTTGAAAGCAGGGATGTTCTTTAAAAAATGTTCATTAGCCTGTAAAACGCTCTCCCGCAATCACCCTTCCCCTGCCTGAATCACATCTCCCAGAGTCGCTCGTGATTTTCCCACGCATGGTCTTCCGTTCCAAGTTCAAGGCCACGCATGTGCACGTCACGTTGTCTTGTCTGGAGCATCACGAGCATCACAACAGAGTCACGATCGTCACGTCAGCGTTACGTCAGCGTTACGATGCCAGGCGAAACGTGACGCTCCACTACTGCTTACTCGTCACATGACGTGCGATTCGGAAACCGCACAGTGTTCGCCAGCTGACTTGCAACTATCGAGAGCGACTTCTCACGTAGTGGCCGTAGTATTCGTCCATGGTTGTGGAAATTCTAAGAGCGGCGTGATGAGTGCTTTTATGAATGGATCGGCGCATGGATGCGAGCATTGGTTGTGTGGTTGCTTGTATTTGGCCACAAACACCTGTCTGTCGAACGAAATTATGGATGTTTTGTTGTATCCTTGAGTGTGTGCAGAAAAATGGTGGTGAGCACTGGCAAACTGTTTGTTCAAATGCTCAAATCAGAACATGAATAGCTGCGAATTTACAACCCATTTGCAGGCCAATCAAACTTTAGTTCACACTTGGCGAGTTATTCGATGACGAATCAACTTCAAAGTAGAAACACAACACTTCATCAAACTATGCCAGTCAATCCACAGTCACAGCTGATATGTCCTAGTTCCGGATCCGCGGCTTGGTTGACTCTGCCAGCGTCCCAGTTTGGTGAATCCAACAACCCCGTGACTCTCCACACACAACTGTGCAACAGTAGCATATGTATATCTCCCAGCCTGTCGAGTCGTGGAGGTCGAGCCCAGATAAGCCTGAAACAGGGAGAGGCGCGGCATCAGTCTGGCCCAGCACTTAAGAACTGTTGAATGGGTGCTTTACGAGCCCGCCGTATCCTGATTTATGCACAAAAAGATTGGATGATTTGGTAGTGAACAACGATTCATGAATCCATTGCAAATACCAATGGTGTGAGAACTGAGCGGCGCTTTGCTCTTATGAAAAGAAACATTCGTAATTTTAAACATTTACAGCACAAACTTTTTAGCGTTAACTGATAGATATTGGAAGAAAATGATCACCAAGCAGTTGATTGCCTTTCGGCAAAATTTCTCGGTTTTAATAAAAATAGGCTTTAGTAAAACACACATTAGCCTATAGCGACCACATTGTCATAAATCACGTTAGGATAAAATATATCGCTGATATATAGGCATTTTGTATGATTGTTAGTAAAAGTTACCACTTGATGTCTTGACAATAAACATTGCGGCTATGAATTGATCACCAATAAATTCAAATGTTTTGCATCCAAGTTGTGAGAATCGAAACCATATATTTACTAGTTTCGGGTAAGGCATAGCTATAATCACATTCATGATTGATGCCTTGTATGGTGTAGTTTCCTTTATCACCAAGGTAAGTATACATACCATTTACTTGTACGTACCTATTAATTCATTTAAATAAGCACCACCAATCAACATCCTATTTCCTATATACATGCAACAATTCAATCACTTTATCATATGAATAAGAACCAGGTCAAGAGCTGCATTTCTCGCAATCATGCTTGTCACTGCTTCCGACACGAGGAAAACTCAGTCATTCTTTCCTTTCGCCCTACATAACTGATGTATTCACTGTTCATCTCCATACGCGCTGCCAGGTGTACCCAAGCCCGTTCCAATTCATCCTGTCGCCTGCGGCTATGTATGTATTGCGTCATCGCCAGTTAGCGGTCGCCGGCCGGCCGTTCCGTGAGAGTGACGTCATATATGCCGGTGACGTCATATGGATTGGTACTCGCGAAGGGATTGGTCGTCGGCTGTATCCCAAGCAGTAGCCTACATTGTGAGAGATGGTCGATAAGATGGAATTTCTGCTGAGGACGTGTCCTGTTAGCGTGCGGGTGGAGAGCGTGGAACGATGGAGAGAAAGGGGGAGAGATAGGAAGAGAGTGAGTGAGGGAGGGAGGGAGAGAGAGAGAGAGAGAGAGAGAGAGAGAGAGAGAGAGAGAGAGAGAGAGAGAGAGAGAGAGAGAGAGAGAGAGAGAGAGAGAGAGAGAGAGAGAGAGAGAGAGAGAGAGAGAGAAGGAGGAATGGAGGGAAGGGTAGGAAGCGAGAGCCAAAGGTAGACGCAAATGTAAGTTAACACCATAGGCGAACAACCATAAAGTTTAAACTGGCGTTGTTAATTGTTGTTTGTTGATTGTGCGCCAAGGTTTTATCGTTTATCGGAGGGGCAGTGCTTGATTTATTCACTTAGTCTTTTTTCCTTGACAGAGGCAAACCAGCATCAAAACCTGACAACGGTGAGACGAATTTTCCATTTTTTCCGATGTACGTACTACGTACATTGACGACTTTTTAGACATTTGGTAAAATGCCGTGGTGTCGTCGTGTTGCGTCATGTCGTGGTGTTGCGACGCATTGTTCTTCAGGTCTGATAACAGGATTATATTGGAAACAAATGTATTGCACCAAACCTTAATATTTCCCATCACACACACGTCTATTTCCCTTTTTACACATATTCAGCATGAAAGCTGGAACAGGCACGTTGGGATAAATGAATGACACGAAGTACTCGACATGCATCCCAAAGTGAAACGATTCTTTCCATCATTGTCTCTCCCTTTTCCATTCCCACACACACACGGCTCAATATCCCTACTCCCCAGCGAACTCACCACCCTAATTAGCCCTCTCTCCTTCCGGCCTGTGTGTCTCAGCGGGGGCACCATCCTTCTCGACGGGACCACTGCTCACCAGGCAGACCGAATTCCTAGCTGAATACCTCTCTCGCCATCGGGGTCGGACGAACTCCAATGAAGCTGTGCGGGTAAACAGATCTTAGCCCGGGGCTGCGATTCCAACGCCGACCCAAAGACCTATCGCCTCGGGCAGGTGCGTACACGCACACGAGAGGACAAAAGGGCTGCGGAGACGAGCGGGGG